GCAATGGCGCGATCTCGGCTCACCGCAACCTCCGCCTCCTGGGTTCAGGCAATTCTCCTGCCTCAGCCTCCTGAGTAGCTGGGATTACAGGCACGCGCCACCATGCCTAGCTAATTTTTTGTATTTTTAGTAGAGACGGGTTTTCACCATGTTGACCAGGATGGTCTCGATCTCTTGACCTCGTGATCCACCCGCCTCGGCCTCCCAATGTGCTGGGATTACAGGCGTGAGCCACCGCGCCCGGCCTCTCATCTTCTTTTTCTTCAGAGCAGTGACGGGTTTTCTTCTTATGTTTTTTACTTGTGTGTGAGTGACTTGATTTTGAGTCTTCTGCCTGCTCATCTAGTATAAGATCATATTTTGCATCCTGTTTGGGCTTTACTTTATCTTTCAGAACCAAATTAGATGGTTTATCCTGTTCTTTTTCATATTCCTTGAAATCACTCTTAGTGTATTTCCCACCTTTTCCTTTCCATTTAACCTTTGCAACAGACTGGTTAAAATCCACATGTATTCTTCCGTCATCTATAAGTACATTGTCCATTTTGAAGAACGCTTTCTCACAATCTTCTTCCTTTTAGAATTCAATAAAAGCATAACAGAGGGACTCTCCTGTCTTCCAGTCCCAGATAACTTCACAACTTCTTATCGGCCCAAATCTAGAGAATATTATTTCCAGATCCTCATCTGTGGTCACTGGGTTCAATTTACACACAAACAGCACGTTTTCTGGAGGTTTAATATCTGCATCAGGTAGGTCTCCCACCATCTCTAAAAGTATAGCCTGAGTTTTAGCCTCTTTTTCTGCCTTATTTCTTCTACTTCCTCAGCTGATCGTCCTTTGAAATCATTAATTTCTTCATCTGCTCCTATTCGACCACTATCTAATTGTTCCCTTGTAGGTTCTGGTGACCGATCAGGGATTAATAAATCAGGAGGGTCATCAAATGGATCATCTAAAATCACCGTATGATTTATCCTGATATCCTGATATGGTACAAAGTCCTTGTCAACAAAGGTCTCATTAATTTTCTTAATTATGTCCATTCCTTCTATCACCTCACCAAACACTGTATGGACACCATCAAGGTAATCTAGATTTTCTCCTGTAGTGATGAGAAACTGAGATCCATGTTGATCACTGCCATTGTTCACCATGGACACTGTGCCTTTCTTCTTGTGCTTAATTCTTGGGACTTTTTCTGCCTCAAAAAAGCTTGCTTGATCACCATACAGTTGGCCAAAAATAGACTCTCCTCCACGGCCAGTCCCCGTAGGATCACCAGTTTGTATGATAAAATCCCTCTGTACATTGTGAATAAGGCAATAATTGTAATATTTTATTTTGCACAATTTCAAGAAATTCAAGCAGGCACGCGGCCACTCCTCGGTGTACAAGTCGATGACGACGTCGCCCAAAGTGCTCTCTACAGAGTTTTACAAAAATTTTCTGCATAACCCGTCATATTATCTTCACACAAGAGAGTTTTATTTCTTTGTTTCCAAACCTCATATCTCATACTTCTTTTTCTTGTCTTACCCTGTTAACTAAGATTTCTAGTGTGAGATTGACTGCAGAAGCAGCAGACTGTAGAAATTAATGCATAGATTCTGGAGCCCAATTCTTAAGTAAAAAACCCGATCCCGACACTCTGAGACCTTTGGAAAGCTGTTTAATTTTTCCTGTAACTGAGATTTCATTTTTTTTTTTTTTTGAGACAGAGTCTAGCTCTGTTGCCAGGCTGGAGTGCCATGGTACCATCTCTGCTCAATGTGATCTCTGCCTCTCAGGTTCAAGTGATTCTTCTGCCTCCTCCTGGGTAGCTGAGATTACAGACTCACACCACCACGCCTGGCTAATTTTTGTATTGTTAGTAGAGACGAGGTTTCGCTTTGTTGGCTAGGCTGGTCTCAAAACTCCTGACTTCAGGTGATCCCCTGACCTAAGCCTCCCAAAGTGCTGGGATTATAGGCATAAGCCACCATGCCTGGCCCATAACTGAGATTTCTAAAGTTAAACTAGGTCTTATTATTGTACTTCATGTAGTTATTGTAAAAACTAAATTTGTTAACATATGTAAAGCATTAGAATAGTACCTGATTACTACTGCCTCTTTTAAATTGTTAATAAAACAAAAACAGCAATAATAGCAAGTATTCTTCTACAATTCCTGATCTAAGATAATGTTTTGGCTGGGTGCAGTGGCTCATGCCTGTAATTCCACCACTTTGGGAGGCTGAGGCAAGTGGATCACCTGAAGTCAGGAGTTTGAGACCAACATTGTCAACATGGCAAAACCCCATCTCTATTAAAAATACAAAAAATTAGCTGGAAGTGGTGGCATATACCTGTAAGCCTAGCTGCTCAGGAGGCTGAGGCAGAAGAATCACTTGAACCCAGGAGGTAGAGGTTGCAGTGAGCCAAGATTGTGCCACCACACTCCAGCATATAGCAACAGAGCAAGACTCTGACTCAAACTAAATAAATTAATAAAATAGGCCTGGTGCAGTGGCTCACGCCTGTAATCCCAGCACTTTGGGAGGCTGTGGCGGGTGGATCACTTGAGGTCAGGAGTTCAAGATCAGCCTGGCCAACATGGTGAAACCCTGTCTCTTAAATAAATAAAATTAATAAAATAAAATAGTGTTTTACCATTAAATATTATATTTACACTAGATTTTTTGTAGATGCTTTTTTAAATCAGTTTAAGAAAGTTCCCTCCCAAACCACTTGCTACTACTATTAGTATTAATACTGCTGTAATTGACCATAATGATAATATCTAATACATATAATATTTATCATGATTTTAACCTTTACATTCATTGCATCTCCTGAGTATTTCATGAATAAATATTGACTTTAGCAAACATTTATCCTTATGTATTTGGACGACCAGATGGTTTTCCTTGTTCAGTCCATTAATGTGCTAAATTATATTAATAGATTTTCTAATGTTAAACCAGTCTTCGAAGATGGATGTGGTGGCAGGTAACTGTAGTCTCAGCTACTCAGGAGGCTGAGGCAGGATGATCACTTGAGGCCAGGAGTTCAAGGCTGTAATGCACCACAACTATGCCTATGAATAAACACCTCATTTCAGCTTGTCAGCAACATAGACCTGTCTCAACAACAACAGCAACAAGAAGACAGCCAAGTACAGTGGCTCATGCCTATAATCCCAGCACTTTGGGAGGCCAAGGTAGGTGGATCACTTGAGGTCAGGAGTTTGAGACCAGCCTGGCAAGCATGGTGAGACCCCGTCTCTACTAAAAGTACAAAAATTAGCTGTGCATGGTGGTACGGTACCTGTAGTCCCAGCTACCTGAGAGGCTGAAGCAGACGAATTGCTTGAACCTGGGAGGCAGAGGTTGCAGTGAGCTGAGATCACGCCACTGCACTGGACGACACAGCCAGGCTGTCTCAAAAACAAAACAAAACAAATCACTTCATTTCTAACATAAACTTTACTTATGTGTTAAACTTATATGTTATTAAAATGTGTTTATTATTAATTTCACAATGCTGGATTTGGTTTGTTAACACTTTGCTTAGAACATGTACACCTGGGCCTGGCGCAATTGCTCATGCCTGTAATCCCAGCACTTTGAGGGGCCAAGGTGGATGGATCACCTGAGATCAGGAGTTTGAGACCAGCCTGGCAAACATAGTGAAACTCTGGCTCTACTAAAAATACAAAAATTAGCCAGGCATGGTGGCACATGTCTGCAGTCCCAGCTACTTGGGAGGCTGAAACAGGAGAATCTCTTGAACCTGGGAGGCTGAGGTTGCAGTGAGCAGAGATAGCACTACTGCACTCCAGCCTAGGTAACAGAGCAAGACTCTGTCTCAAAAAAAAAAAAAAAGAACATGTGCACCTGTATTCATAACTGAGAATGAGCCTTAATTTCCTTTATTATACTTTTTTTTTTTTAAATGGGGGTTTAGGCCAGGCATGGTGGGTCACACCTGTAATCCTAGCACTTTGGGAGGCCGAGGTGGGTGGATCACCTGAGGTTAGGAGTTCAAGACCAGCCTAGCCGTCAGGGTGAAACCCCATCTCAAAAAAAAAGAAAAAAAAATATTTAAAAAAAAAAATGGGTTTTTTGTTTGTTTTTATTTGTTTGGAGATAGGATTTCACTCTGTCACCCAGACTGGAGTGCAGTGTCACCATCTCAGCTCACTGCAATGCCCCCTTCCCAGGCTCAAGCAATTCTCCCACCTTAGTCTCCTAGGTAGCTGGGGCTACAGGCATGGGCCATTACGTCTGGCTAATTTTTTGCTGTTTTTTTTTTTTTTTTTTTTTTTTTTTTGTAGAGACAGGGTTTTACCATGTCACCCAGGCTGGTCTCAAACTCCTGGGTTCAAGAGATTCACCCATCTCAGCCTCCCAAAGTGTAATTACAGGGGTAGGCCAATGCAGCACCCTATAAAACACTTTTAGTGAGATATATTTGCTGTTCAAAAACTGCCCATATTTAATATGTATAATTTGTGTTTGGACCTATACAAACACCTATTACACTATCATCACAATCAAGGAAATAGACATAATCCAACACCTCCCAAAGTTTCTTTTGGTCCCTTTATTTTTTTTGGTGTTGTTTGTTTTTTTATGGGGGGGTGTTGCTACTATTGTCATTTTGTGGCAAGAACATGAGATGTATCCTCTTAACAACTTTTGGAGTGCACTGTGTTGTACAGCAAATCTCTGGAATTTACTCATCCAGCATAACTGAAATTTTATACCCATTGAATGATGAACTAACCTTCTACCATGGATTTGGGAGTGTCTGCTGTTTTTTTTTTTTTTTTTTTGTTGTTGTTGTTGTTGTTGTTGTTTTGAGACAGAATTTCACTCTGTCACTCAGGCTGAAGTGCAGTGGCACTATCTGAGCTCACTGCAACCTCCACCTCCTGAGTTCAAACAATTCTTATGCATCGGTCTCCCAACTAGCTGGAATTACAGGTGTGTGCCACCAGGCTGGGCTAATTTTTGTATTTTTAATAAAGATGGGGTTTTGCCATGTTGGTTGGGCTGGTCTTGAACACCTAACCTCAAGTGATCCACCTGTCTCAGCCTCCCAAAGTGCTGGGATTACAGGTGTGAGCCACTGCTCCCAGCCTCTAATAAGCAGTCTTTTTTTTTTTTTTTTTTTTTTTTTTTTTTAATAAGTAGTCTTTTAAGAACGAAAGAAGAGCCGGGCGCAGTGGCTCATGCCTGTAATCCCAGCACTTTGGGAGGCTGAGGTGGGGGGATCACCTGAGGTCAGGAGTTCGAGACCAGCCTGACCAATATGGTGAAACCCCGTCTTTAAAAAAAAAATTTTTTTTTAATTTTGCAAAACAAAAAGAACAGAAGAAGAACAAAGTTGGAGGATTCACGCTTAAGAGTCTAGAAACAAACCCTCAAATCTATAGTCTATTGATTTTCAACAAGGATGACAAAACAATTCGATGGGGGAAAGAATAGTCTTCAACAAATGATGCTGGAACAACTGAATATCTACATGCATAAGAACGAAATTGGACCCCTCTGTCATACCACTTAGAAAAATTACTCATAATGGCTGGGCGCAAGGGCTCACGCCTGTAATCCCAACACGTTAGGAGGCTGAGGCGGGTGGATCACGAGGTCAGGAGTTCGAGACCAGCCTGGTCAACGTGGTGGTCTCTAAAAAAAAAAAAAAGGAAAAATTACTCAAAATTAATCAAATACATAAATGTAAGTGTACACTTAGTATACTCCAAAACTATAAAATCTTAGAAAAACATTTTAGGCATAAATGTTCATGATCACAGGTTAGGTAATGGCTTATTAGATACAAAACCAAAAGCACAAGTGACAAAGAAAATAATAGATAAATTGGACTTCATCAACATTTAAAACTTTTATTTTTGAGTCAGGGTCTTGCTCTTCCACCCAGGTTGGAGTGTAATGGTATATTTATGGATTACTGCAGCCTTGACCTCTCAGGCTCAAGCGATCTTCCTGTCTCAGCCTATCCAAAGTACTGGGATTACAGGCGTAAGCCACTGCACCCAACTCCAAATTAAAACTGTATTCTTCAAAGCACACCATCAAGAAAGTAAAAAGACAAGGCCAGGCACGGTGGCTCATGCCTGTGATCCCAGCACTGTGGGAGGCTGAGGTGAGTGGATCACCTGAGAAGTTCGAGACCAGTGTGGCCAATATGGTGAAACCCCATCTCTACTAAAAATACAAAAATTAGCCGACCGTGGCGGCACATGCCTGTAATCCCAGCTACTCAGGAGGCTGAGGCAGGGGAATCGCTTGAACCTGGGAGGCGGAGGTTGCAGTGAGCTGAGATTGAGCCATTGGGCTTAATCTGGGCAACAAGAGAGAAGCTCCATTTCAAAAAAAAAACCCAAAACCTAAAACGCAACAAAATATATATATATTAAAATATATAT